TGGACCCGCCTCGGGGGACAGATTCGAACAAACCTCGTCCTGGCAGCTGAGGGGAGCGCTGCGGCACTCTCGGTCTTCGGCTTTCTCCTCACACCTGAGGAGCCTCTTCCATACCAACTAACCTTTGTGCTCCCTAGCGCCCTCGTCGGCCCTTTAACCACAGCTGCTCATCATCTCCGGTTTCAGCCGGCGGGAGCCAGTTCCCACGCCTCCCAGCGCGCGGGGATCCCGGCTGGGACGAACACGAAATCGACACCAGGCCGCACAAGCCTTTGTCTCTTCTTTATTTGCGGATATAATTATGTACCGCATTCTAAATTAGAGATAGATTTTTTTTTTCTGATATACATTTCATCTTATTCACCACGAGCACACCACACGCACAGTAGAACAGTTCCACACCTGATAAATTGCACAAGATGAGTTTGGATTCCTTAAAACGGGCAGGCAAGCTGGCCCCGCCGCGGCTTCTCGCCTCCCGGCTTCATTGAAGGAAATCGCCCACCCGAAATGGATTTCCCAGTCAGCCTTTCCCGCTGCAGGGCTGAAACGTCTCCGGAATGGGAAGCGCTCTTGCTGGAAATGGCTGCACGCTGTAGATTCCGAGCATTGGATGGATGTAAAATGTCCCCCCAAGGTCAAGTTTCCACGCCTGCGAGCTGCGTCCCCTCTCCCTCTCTTCCCAACCCCCTCGGTGACTGGAGCCAAAATGTCGGGGCCCCACTTGGAAGGACAGAGAACCCTCCCTGTAAATGAGCCCCGCCTCCCCCGAAACCAGGGTGTTGTGGAAAAGAAAGGACAACAGAAACGCAGACGCGATGGATCGTGAATCCCTATCCCCTCCCACCCCCCATCCCCAAATAATCAGAAACTATGAACCAGGGATGTTAAAGCTTGGCTTCCCAAGCGCTGTGGCAGGGCGCACCGGGCTGTTGGGGGCGGGGTGAAGGGAGTAGGGGGAGAGCGCGGAAGCGCGGCGGGGGGTTGCCCTTGCGCCCTAGTCCTCCGCGTTGGTTCGGTAGGCCTCGATGAGCCCCTCGAGGGAGTGCACGAAGCCGGACACGCTGCAGATGCCGCCGATGACGAAGATGGCGACGTCGAAGAAGACTTGGTGCCACAGCAGCTTGCGCCAGAGCAGGCGCAGGTGGAAGAGGCTGGGCAGCAAGAAACAGAGGCCGGCGCCAGTGAGGCTACCCGTGAGGCCCATGAGCAACGCGAAGTGCGGCACATAGATGGCCATGAGCAGCGTGAAGACCACGAGCGCGCAGCGCAGCGTCAGCCCCCAGGACTTCAGGCGCCCGTCGCCGCCGTAGCAGGCCGGGAAAAAGGCGCGGCTGCCTTCCTGGAAGAGCGACTTCTCCAGCACCTCAACAGCGGCAAAGAATGGCAGCGGATAGGACAACAGCGCCTTGGCCACCAGAAAGATGTTGACCACAGCGCGGATGGAGCCCGGCAGGTTATCCGTGATGACTTCCTTGGTCTCGTCGGCCCAGGTGAGGTAGGCGACGAGTGCGAAGAGGCCCTTGAGGACGCAGGCGGCGATGTGCGTCCAGTTCATCATGCAGTGGAACTCGCTGGGCTGCTGCATGTTGCCCTCCAGGGAAGGCAGGAAGATCTGCGACGTGTAGCTGAACACGATGATGCCAATGGAGATGGGGAACTTCTTGACGTCGATGTAGAACTTGACCTTCTCCCAGGCCCAGTCGCGTGCCCGCGATAGACAGTAGGCTATGACCAGGATATTGATGACGAAGTGGGCCAGAGTGCACAGCAGACTGAACTTGGACACGGCCTTGAGGTTCTTAAGGAAGGCGCAAGGCAGCAGCACAGCCGTGGCGATGATGGACCAGGACTTCTGCGACACAGGCAGCCCCGGGAAGCTGTTGTACATGAGGTTGCCACTCACCACCACGTACAGGATGCACGTCATCACCAGCTCGATGATCTGCGCCACGTTCACCACGCGGCCGCCCAGCGTGGGGAAGCGCGGGGCGCAGCAGGCATTGGCGATGGCCACATACGAGTCCCGCACGCGCACCACCTCGCCGTCTTCATTCTCCTCGTACAGGCACGCGATGAGGATCTTGCCAGTGTAACAGCACACCACGGCGGCGAAGATGATGAGGAACAAGCCCAGGTAGCCGCCGTGCAGGATGGCGTAGGGTAGGCCCAGCACGAACATGCCCTGTGGGGCGGAGAGGCAACCAGACGCGGGCGCTCAGCGAACTCCGAAACCCGAGGGGGGCTGGGGGGGGCGTGGCTTAACGCTGTGGCCCGAAGGGGGCGCTACGGACTCTGAGAATTGGGTCCGAGCCGCGGGGGAGGAGAGGTTTAGGGCAGGCTGCCGTGGAGACGTACGTTAGCTAACCGAGAGCCCGGGTGTCGAGCTAGAGATAGAGAGGGAGGGATGTATGGACGGATCTGAGAAGGAAAGGTGCGGTGATGGCTGGAGATAGTGAGAGGGCTAGGGTGGGAAAGGGTTGAGAATAGGAAGAAGCCTCAGAAGGGACGGGGAAAGCAGAGATACTTCAGGATGGTTTCCGGGGACAGAACCAGAATGAGGAGTGGGGGAGGTGATGAGAAGGGGCAGGAGGAAGCGTGGTCGGAAAGGGGAGCTAAGAAAGGTAGTGAGCTGGGCCTGAGCCACTTGAAAGAGCGGGCACAGGATTTATGGTAGGGCTGGAATTGGGGGAGCGGGAGCTAAAGAGGGAAACTCGGGAGTCTCAGGCTCAAACCGGAGGCGAAAACGTTAAAGGCGGCAGAGGGAGGGAGAAGGAGACAGGGTGAAGAGGGAGAGGGGCTGAAGGTGGGCGAAGCATCTGGGAGACCAGAAAAGAGTGTGAAGATGCTTGGGGGAACAGGGCTGGGGAGGAGGAGACAGGGTTAGAAATTGAGAGTCTTAAGACAAGGCTGGAGTTAGAGTGGGGCGAAGGCGAGACCTAAGGAAGGGAGCTAAGTGGAGGCGGCGGAGGGAAGCAGGAGGAGGAGCCTGGCGGGAACGCACCGGCGCGGCCGGAAAGCCGAGCCGAGCGGGAGTCTAGAACCAGAAGATTCAGGATCGGGCGGACAGGGCTGTAGGGTTTAGAGTCCACATGGGGACTAAGAACTAACGAAATCCGGGGTCCCGGAGGCCTGCGAGCCTCCAGCCTCCTGCCCTGGCCTCTCTCGGGGCCTACCAAACGGAGCCTTGAAAGACGCCCCAGAAAGGCGCGAGCTACAGCGAAGGCGGGAGCAGCCCCCGGTCCGTGGTCCAGTAAGGCGGTCTCCCCGCGCCCCGGAGCGGAAAGCGCCTTTCGTCGGGCCATCTCGTGTGCAGGGCCGGGTGGAGTCCTACTGAGCCCAAGACGTCGAGCACCCGTCCCAGGGAGGCCTCCTGCTCCCAGAAAACCTGCCTTCCGTGGCCCCAGTGATAGTGCGTTCCAGGGACGCCGCGGGGCCAAGCTGTAAGGGTTCGGGGATGCCTAGAGCTGAAGTTTCCTTTGGCCCCGAAAACCGCGGCCTGCCAGCCCCTGCTAGCTCCGAGGTCGTTGCCAATACTCCAAACTGCTCCGGGTGGAGGAGTCCTGCGCCGCCTGGTGGGGAGTGGGGGGTTGGGAATAAGCGGAGAGGTGGCGGGCCTTGAGACCAGGGGCCATTCTTAGCCTTCGGAGAGGGCTTTGCCAGCGTCACCCGCGGAGGAGCCTCTTTGCGGTGCAGCCGGGATTTCGGGCGAGAGGGGCGAGCCTGTGCGCAGGTAATGCGGGATTCTTGCGGACTAAATGTGCTTGTCTGGGAGCATGTGTGTGCGTTCGTGGGTGTACACCTGTATGTCTCCAACAGGGCCGCACCTGAGGGAGCAGGCTGGTTCCTGTCTGCAGGCGTCTGTACGTGAGTACATGCATATGTTCAAACGAGTATCCGTGTGTTTGGTATGTGCAGGTATATGCTTTTGTTCGTGGAGATGTAGGGGTGTACGCAGGTACATTTGGGGATAGTACTGTGGTCTATATATAGATCCATGTCGTGCGCCTTTGCGTGCCTGCACGTTTGTTCGTGGGAAGGGGGGCTGTGGGCTTGCGGTGTGCCTGCCTGTGTACGTGTGCGTGTCTCTGCGTGTGTGCGGGGGGAGGAGACTCCCAGCTCAGCGATTTCCCCTTCTTTCCTCCCAAAAATGCAGCTGTGAATCCATTCCAGAGTCCAAGACCATACCGTGCCCTCCAATCCTGATTTTCTTTCTCCCTCATCCCTCCCATCTCCCTCCCCCTATTTCCTTCACTTTTACAGTGTCTCGGGACAGGTGTTTCAGACCGAACCTCAGCGTAGCGGTCTTGCAGCGGGTGCCGTGGGAAGGAGTGTCGGTTAGGGCGGGAGACACCACCTGGGGGCGTAGGTCCCCGAGCAGGGCTGAGAGGGATGGAGAAATGGAGATTCCTGGGTACAGGAGCGGGTCTCGAGGCCGAGATCACGCGACCTCTGTTGGGAGCAGAGACCGGTTCGCTGAGCTAGGAAGGGGGAGGGCAGGCAGAACTGGGAATCCCGCGCTCACCTGGATGGCGTTGGTCACGTTCCAGCCTGCCTCCCACGCCGTGATCTTGGGCTTGTCGTGGCCCCCGAACTCACCACCAGCTCCCACCTGGTCCTTGGAGCCCGAGGGCGGCAGAGGAGCGCCGCTGCCCCGCTGATAATGGATGTCTCCCTCGACGGGCGGTTCTGCACCCTCGTCCCCGCAGGGCTCGCCCTCGGCTTTCAGGATGTCCATCTGCAGGCCCTGGCGGTGCTCAAAGTCGAGGTCGTCGCAGTGCGCGAAGCCCACCGCCTCCTCATCCGTGGCCGCCTGAAAACCCATCCTGGCGAACATGCCGCTCACCTTGGCCTGGGACTTGTTGGACACGGATGTGGCCACGTTGGACAGCTTGCTGCGAAGCAAGGTGGCCATGGCGGCAGTGGGGACAGCGGAAAGGACAGAAGGACCCGATGCGGGGGACGCGATGCAAGACGGCGAGGGCCGAGGGTGGGGGGCGCAAAGCCGCTATCTCCGCTTGCTCTTCCCGCCGCGCCTCGGGGCTCTCTGGTTCATGACCCTCTCGGCTGGCGTTCGAGGCTCGCTCAGGGCTGGACCGGGCAAGCTGGCAGCAGGTCTGGCGGAGCGGCGGCGGCGGCGGTGGCTAGTGCACTGCGGAGCTGCCGTGGGGCGCGGGCTGGGCTGCGGAGGGCGGCGGCGGCGGCGGCGGCGGCGGTAGCGGCGTCAGAGCAGCTACGCGAAGCTGGCGCGGCGCCCCCACCCTTGCGCGGCCCAATGCGCTCCCGCCCCTCGGAATCAGGCGGTGAGGGGGTGGGGGGTTGGAGAGAGGAAATACCCGGAGGCCGGGGAAAAGAGGAAGGGGCTAGGAGAAGAGAAAGCGGGCGCCGAGGGATTCAGACGTGAGCTGGGGGCAGAAGGGCGCCCTTGGGAAGGAGGCGGGAGGGAGCACGTGAAAGAGGGAGCGCCGAAGGCAGGGAAGGTGGGGGGGCGAAGTGCTGCATTTCTAGGGGAGGTGCTAAGCTCGCATCCTGGCCCTTCCCTCCTCACCGCCGCAGGGAGGGAGGGGGCCGGCATGGACTGATGCTGGCAGCCTCCCGCCCCCGGACCACCCCCTCCAGAGTCCCAGAGCTGTGCAGTCCCAGATCCTCTGGCTAAGGACTGGTCTGAGCACCCCGAAAGCCCGCAGGACTGAGTTGCCGGTCTCAGGCGGAGCGGGTCGTCTAGAAGTCAGCTTCTCTGGCACGCATCCTTCGCGCTTAAACCTGGCCGCGAGTCCCCCTTGAAGGTAGAAGTGGCTGGCATGGATCGCTCCCAAGGAAGCTCAGCCTCGGGCTCGGTCACCTGGCCTCTCTCCGCCTGTCCAGGGATGCCGCGAGGGAAGCGATCGCGCAGGTCGCTCACCACCAACCACTCTCCAAATGTGTGCAGAATGGAGGCGAAAGGTTGGCTTTTCGCTTTCTTTTCGTTTGAAGGGTATGGAAGAAGGCAGGACTCTATGAGGACACCTCTCGGCAGCCTCCTACTGGGTCTGTGAATGCCCACGCCGAGTAGGCTCGCGGCGCGGCGGGGTAGAGGAAGCGGAGGCTCGCGGAGCGCTGGGTCCCTGCTCCGACGGCCGCCTGCAGGCAGTGAGAACCTGGGCTGTTTCTGTTGATTGGGGTACCGGTGTGTGAGCTCCAGTAAGGGAGAGACCCAGAGACAAAGACTGATGCTCTATCAAACACTGTTTGAAGCTGAATCAGTGTGGCCTCCAAACGTGAGATTCGGTAACCGCGTGTATTCTGTGTCTGTGTGGTTTTGTGCGCATTCGAGTCTGTGTGCCGGAGCTGGTGCGTTGGATTTCGTGTGTATGTGTTCCCGAATGGGTTGCCTGCGTTTGTTCCTGTGTGAGTCCCTTTGTAGTAGTCTCCATGATGGTCTGCTGCTCTGAATGGGTCCCAGTGTAGGTCCCCCATCTGAGATGCCGACCGGAAGACTCCTCCGGAACAGTAAACCGCAGGGCTCCACCAGGCAGTTCCAGCCTGAATGGAAAAGTAGCGGCTGTGACTGGAAGTGGGGGCGGGGGCAGACAGAGAAACCAAAGGAAACAAAAAAGGAAGGGGCTCCCAATCTCCCCTCTCCCGAGGCCCTTTCTCCCTGGGAACCCCAGTCCACTCCTTCGCTGCAGTATTTCTAGATTAGTTCACGTCAGCGCACAAGTAGGGCAGCCCGAGGGCTTTGAGCAGAGAGTTGGAGCTGCCCAGGACAAGATGGGCTTCCCTCTCTACACCCTCCCACCTCCTGCCACCTCCTCCCATCCAAGCACCTCCCAGTCTCCCGGAGGAGGCTTCTCTCCAGATAGGGAACATCTACCACATTGGACAGAGATGCTCCTAACCTCTCCCCAGGTTCCCCCTTAATTTTCCCAGAAGCTCTGGAAAGCCCTAACTCCTGCCTGGTGAGAACCAAGACAGAAACCCTCTTCTTAGCCTCCAGCTACTAAGACCAAAAAACGAACACGACAAAACAAAAAGCCTCTCTATTAGAACCCTCCTCCAAATACAGACACACCAAGACATGATAAGACCCAGAACAAAGACAGGAAAGAGATTCTTCCTCCAAACACAGAGATCCTCTCCTCCAAGGAGGCTTTGAAATAGAAGTGATTCCCCATCTGAAACTTGCCCTGTACACAGACCCTCGGTCCACCCCAATTCCCAGATACCGGAAAGGGAGAGAGAGAATTTTCCCTACAGATTCCTATAGACAAAGACCTTCACATCCTACTTACCATCTTCTCCCCTTCTGTTCTTGGTGAAATTCTTTGGCCCACAAGAGATGATCTGGGCAAAGGCTGGGTCTTGTAGGGTTCCCTAGTGCCTCCTCCACCCCATCTCACCCAGACCTTAAGATGACCACTGATGCCTTCTCTGACAAGTGAGTCTAAAGTGCTTACTCGCTTTTCTTTTCCTTTATGGTGTTCTTTGCTGTAGGACCCAAGGTAGGCTGTGATGTGTTTTCATCAGTGAGAGATGGGGTCATTTATTCTCTCATTCAGTGAACCCTTTCACAGCCCTTTCTGTGCATGCGACTCTATTCTGGCTATTCCAGGAATTGTTAAGATGACACAGAATGGTCTCTTCCTATACTCCCCACTCCAATTCTTGGGTCTAGGACCTTAGAAAGTCCTCGGTCCAATTTTCCTTTCTACAATATTTAAACCTCCCCCAAACATCCCAACAGAGTCTCACATTTAAGATGGGTTTACAGACAAGTGAACTCAGGCCTGAGCAGGGAAGTATCTGGCCCAAGGTCACACAGAATCCAGGTGAAAACCGGGCTAGAACCTCCGGGAATCCTGAGACTCTCTCCAGCATGCCTTTCCCTGCACCACCTCATCTTCTCTTTATATCCTCTCTCCCTGGTTGCCGTTTGGTATTTGGCCACCTCACTGCCCAAAGAGATGAAATTCAAAAATCAGATTCTAATCCCTCTGGCTATAATTGGATGCCAAAAGTTGGGAAAGGAACTCCCATATTTCCCTCTCGTCCTGCTGTTTGTAATAAATGCCTCTTCCCAGGTGAAATTCCCAGGTGAAAGGCAGGTGTGAAGTTCTCAAGCAACCCACACTTTATCGAATAATTCTACCCCATCCCCAACTCTGTGACATTGTCTACTTCTTTAACTTCTCCTAGCTTCCATTTCTTCCATCTCTAAAATATGAAAATAAGAATAACATCCTTTAGAATATTATAGAATTATTGAGAAAATTCAAGGAGATCTTGTATATGAAATGCTTAATACATGATGCATGCCCAATATGTGATAGTAATTATTTTATTTTTTATTTTTTATTTATTTTTATTTTTTTGAGACAGAGTTTCACTGTTGTTACCCAGACTGGAGTGCAATGGCACGATCTCGGCTCACCACAACCTCCGCCTTCTGGGTTCAAGCAATTCTCCTGCCTCACCCTCCTGAGTAGCTGGGATTACAGGTGTGCGCCACCATGCCCAGCTAATTTTTGTATTTTTAGTAGAGACGGGATTTCACCTCGTTGACCAGGATGGTCTCGATCTCTTGACCTCGTGATCCACCCGCCTCGGCCTCCCAACGTGCTGGGATTATAGGCGTGAGCCACCGCGCCTGGCCGATAGCAATTATTTTATTATTGTTGTAGTTATTATACTCACACTCAATGGTCAGTTCTCATTATCGGGGGTGGGAGGAATAGGAGTGCACAAGAAAAAGCCTGCAATTGATCTGGGAGTTGAGTGAGCTGGAATGTACGCTCTTCTGTTTCTGCCCTGTGACTCTCTGCTCCTACTCCTCGCAGTCCTGAGCTGACCTGGAGAGAAGGGAATGGAGGTCAGGAGCAGGGCAGAGGGCAGAGTCCAGGAGACCAATAGGATGACTTCCCATGCTGGTAGTGAGCTGGGCTTTGCTCTGGTGAAGTCATTGACCTCCAAATTCTCCTAAATAGCTCCTCTAGAGGGGTCCCCTAGGAGAGGATTTTGCAGTAGGCTAGTCCCTGAGTTGAAGCACAGCACACACATACATTCACACAGAGTATTACAAGTTGATGGATAGATATACAAAGACATGAGGATAACATACAGATTCCAGTAGATTGAACAGAGCATTCTAGGACATTGACAGAGCAAGGACAGGCCAGCACACAGACAGACACATGCAAGATTTGTACCCAGACTGCCTGCCACACAAAGGAATCAGAACAGACACTGGTGGGTCCCTCTGCAGGGACAGAGGCACCTGGTTAACAGGCTCAGACATACAGCAGTGGAAGGACAGGTAAACACACACACACAGAGACAAGCCCCCCCACACAAGAAATCACACACGCACACTCACACACAAAGTCACACTGAGACCAACAGGACTACTCTTGCGTGATCACTGAAGGGGAAAAGAGAAGTGAACAAAGGGCAGAAAGGGGCAGGAGAGATATAAAAAGGACCAAGCAGGGAGAGGGAGATGGAAGCAGGCCATGCTGGACGCAGCCACCAGCCAGTGGGACACAAAAGAGGCAGAGATGCCACAGCCTTCCTCTTTTGCCAATGCCAGAGCCCAGATCTTGTGACTAAGAAACTAGGGATGGAGAGGGTATGTGGAGAAATAGCAGGCGCTGTCGATACCCAACCTGGGGTGTCTCCACCTTCTCTCAGGACTTCGGCAGAGCCCTGTGAAGGATGGACTACTGGATCAGGATTGTGGATCAGGAAGGACCTGGATCAGATTCCCTGACGCCAGGGCTCAAGTGAAATGCACACAACCCCTCCTGACACATGAGCTTAGTCTCTCTGTCTTGGATGCCTCAGTACCCAGGGGGTTAAATGCCTGGCTAACAGAGACTCTGGGGGAGTAAATAGGGTTAAATAGAACTGGGCTTATCTCCCAGAGCAGACAGCAAGTTGGGGGAAGGGGGCCTGGAGCCCTTGAATTAATGGCCTGGAAAGCCAACATCATGAGCATCATTTCGGGGCTGAATGATCACACATAGACCCCCTCCCCTTCCCCTGTGGCTCAGAGCCCTCCTTTTCCAGAGCAGTCTGCCTTGCAGGGCTTTTCCTGCTGAGGGGACGGGCACTGGCTTCATAAACGACTCCCACCCCCAGGTATCCTGGGGCTGGGACATTGGTGAGGTTTTCCTACAGCTGGAGGGAGCCAAGTTCACCTTTTCCCAAACCAAAACCCAATTTCCTGATGCCATGTCCCTGGGCACAAGGGAGGAGAGAGGCAGCAAGGCTGAGGTGACAGGTGGGGGTCCATACATGGAACAAAGACCCTGGTTCTTCTCCCTTCAGGGTCAAATCAGGTGGGGGCATGGACCGTGTAGGTGCTGCCCCTGCATGCTCAGGGTAAGACATATTAAAATTCATTCATGACTGTAGATAGTAGCAGTTTTCCTTGCACACATAGTGAGCATCCCATCTCCAGAGGTGTCCAGGCAGAGGCTGGATGGCCTACCAGAGACAATGTCCAGAGAAGTCCTCCCTCAGGGTAAGGGAAGCTGCATTTTATGACTTCTGGGGTTCCAGGTTCATGCTTTCTGGGCTGACAGCTCTGAGAAGGAGTCAGAGAGCAGGAGGCATGAGGACCCAGGTCTTGCCGTCGGCAACTTTTAAAACCAGAAGCTTCCTCAAACTGACGGAGGAGCCCTGGACCTGACTTGGTGGGTTAGACCAATGGTTCCTGCCCTTTTCTGAGAACACAGCTCAAGTTATGCTGGGAAGCAGGGAGCATGTCAGCCTTATCCCTCCCTGGGTCCCCAGCACACAGTAGACACTCATTCATGGAGATGACTTAAGTCAATGTCACAAAACCATTTTCCCCTCCCAAGAAACATACAACAGCCAAAGTCCACCCCTGAATTACAAATACTGTAGCTGTTCCGTCTTTTATGCTCACATCATCTTTTATGTAGTTGAAAGTCAGTCCTACATAGGTGTATAAGATGTGATTTTTGTTCATCTAGGGCTTGGGGTGCGCATGCAGATTCAGGGACTCCTTGCAAGAACACTCAGCACCTACCAGCAGATTCTAGGTCTCTAGGAATCTCTGGGTCACTGGTTATAACTGGGAGAGACAGCTATAGCAGAGGCTCTGATTCTAGAGCCTGGGACAGGGACCCTGGGACAGGGACCCTGAACTCCAGCAGTGCGAAGGGGCCATGCGTCTGACCTCTTACACTCTCCAGGTACAGAGCTTGCCTTTGCTGAGCACCCTCTGTGTGCCAGGTACTGTTGAAAGTACACTCTCAGGACTGTTTCCTTAAATTCTCACAATCCTGAGACTAGCCCACTGTCATCTCAGGAGGCTGGAGGCAGGGCCTGCAGGAATGGACATGGGGAATGCATAATTGAATAGGCACAAGCAGGAAAGGGGACAGTTGGGAGGACTGATGATCACTGGGGCCAGGAGAGCTGCAGGGGGTCCTTGCTTTAGTTAGAAAACT